TGTGAATGCTAAATCTATCATATTAAGCCTTCAAACAAGACTTAAAGGAAAAACGAATATGGATAACTTTAAAAAAAATTTTGATCTTGACAAGGTACACATATATGGCTGACAAATATTAAAATTGTTTTGATTTTTTTCAACTACTCAACCAACAATTTGCACTATAGAACAATAAATGTTTTTCTACTAGCACCTTGTGAGGTAGATAAGTCTCAATCTCGTAAAAAATTTAAATACAAATTCTCAAGTAATTTTACAAAACCAATAGCACATTTGATTTTAAGGCAAGATGTTTTTCTCATTAAATTATCAAAAGCTACCTTATTTTTTAGAAAAGACACCATTTAGACAGCAAACTCAAAAGTTGTAACCTATTTACACTGTTTAATTTTAGGAACCTCTTTAATACTGCTCAGAAATATAAATCAACTTATACTACACAAAACAAAACTTTTAAAAATATGTATAATACAAATAAAATATAATTTAAAAAAATAATCAGTCAAGGCATATTTGCCAAAAGTCATGCAAAATTAGGAAAAAAATACAATATATCAGTTGTAGGTTATATCCAAATAACATACATATGAGACAAACCAAATTCCATTATCTTAGCATGAAACAACATTACAACCAACATTTTCGGTACACTTGCATCCAAAGATTACTGAAGTTTCTCTGCAAGTAAGAAAAATTTTCTCACTTTTTTCTATTCAAGTTGGATCTCTATTCCGTTTCACATAACAATATGACAGTGTTAATCTTTATTTGTTCTAATTTTACTATGCATGTAAACAAATGCAGGTGGTCATTATAATTTGCTGCTGGACACTACAGATTCAGAAAAAGGGGGTGATACCAGTCAGACCCCCTTCAAAATGGATTTATTTCCTCACTCTGTACACTAACGAAGTTAAATAATGTCCTCTTGAAAAGAGGCTAATCGAGAAACCAGGCACCAGTTGATCTTGATGGCAACAATGGCTGACAATGACCATCCTTGAGATAACATTTGTTCTCCAGACCATCAGCATGTTGCCTCCATGACCATGCTTGTTCATATGCGTTTCAGAACAAAGGATCTTAGTTTCAGCAACTGATTCTCGACTAGTAGCAGTAATATTTTGAAAGGAGATTAATTAAATTTTAAAGGAATTAAATTAATTGAATTAAATCTGATACTTCAACATATTATAGGCATATTTTGGCTCCTATTGAACATGTAATGAAGAAGTACCATATTCACCCAAATATAAAGGCAAGGGCTTTTTCCCTAAATATCTTGTTTAAATTAGAGGGAAGGTCATCTAATAATCGCACACAAGGCCTAATCAGTTGGGATTTTCTTTTATAATGCCTTACGAGAAGAAACTAAAGCTATCAAAACAAGCTGTATGGGCAATAAATATTGTATCTATAATTCCTAATTACATTTGCACCCTTTCCTTTGGACATACCCCTGATTTGCAGAGCAAGTCAGACTAATATTTTTGAATGGGCTGGTAAAGGGACAATCCCAAATAAATGGCATCGTAGTAAGTGAAGTGCAACATGAAAATGAAGTATTCTTGAATTTTATACAATGTTTGGTGAAGCCATGTGATCTCTAGGACTAGCAGATGCCCAGTATATGCGAATCTTTTCAATCTTGCAAATTCCCAAACATGATAACTTTGCTCTCCCTAATGTCATCTGTAGAATGAATGTACAAGTTCGAAGGTCACAACCGAATCACACTAATTTAAAGCAAAGTGAATTTATTGTTGTTAAAAACTCAGAAGCCACAGGCAAGTGCATGTCAGGAAGATTATCTGGTAACACAGAAGAGAATGTTCTTAAGGCGCATCAGACGAAAGACAGCGCAAATTCAAAGCACTAAACTTTCAGGTTGGGGAGCTAAAAAGTCATAGGGCAACCAGAAAGAAAAAAATCAATGATATAAGAGAAGATGAAGGTATTGACAAAAAATGATGATGATGATGATATTGTTAAGGAACAAAAAAATTGTGAAAGCTCATGTAAAATATTTTAACAGCCTCAAATCTTATATTCAGAGCCATCTTCTATTTGGGTAAATACAGTATTACTGAAAATAATATGTATAAATATTTGTCACCTCCTGTCACTTTGTTGGACACAACTGTCAGAGCCAGTAATTCTTTGAACAAATTGAATTATGATAATAAGTTTTAACAGCTTTTGCAGTGACTCATACCTACATATAAGTAAGATGACAATACAAAGATGCAGGCAATCATTAACTACAAGGTGGAGGAAGAAAAATGAAACATTCGTTTACATGCAGAGTTTCAAGCTTTAACAAAAGTTAGTTACAACACTCAAAAATTTAGGAACTATTCATATACTTCAGGCAGTCATTTTTTCCCCTTAAATAAAATAAATATCACATTTCAAATAGTGTTCCTATTTAAAATATTTTATGAAGTATATGGTGTTTACAAATGTGAACAAAAATATCTAACTCACATCTCACATTCATAACAACATCAACTCGGCCACCAAATAATAATATATATGTATCTCAAAATATTTACATGAGAATAAATATGAAATAAATAATGGATAAGATTAAATAATCAATGTTATTACTTACACAACAAAATTCAAACAAAAATAATTCTAGTAAAAAAACTTGCCACAAAACAAAGCACAACTGAGCCGAGCACAAGCCACAGACACTACACAAAATTACTGCTGTTTGCTGAAATATGATAGTTCTAGGCCCTAATTCTTAGCTGCATTCTGATGAATGCTACACAAGAAGCTAAATTGAATTCAATATGTAAAAAACCTCTTTCCAAAATTATCCAACTCTTCGTTATATTCCCAAATAAGTGATAAATCATCATCATTTCCAACATTGAGTAGTTCACTACTCACGGGGGTTTACTTTTAAAAAGTGGTAGGATGCTTCTAAAGGTCGCAACAAATTTATCAATATAAAGAAATTGCTCATTGTTCACAGTTGCAAACTATCATGACTACAGCAGACAAACAGAAATTAAGGTACGAAACACATGCATCAAACCAGAGCTAACTAACTATGAAATGCCTGTGCAGCTTTTGAAGTCAATCAATACCAAAGAAAATGCTCACCACATACACAACAGGTTGCTGCACAGGTTGTTTCTGATTACCCATATACAACACTCAATATATAATTTAAATGGAATTAACATCTTAAGAACATCTGTCGAATTAATACAACAAAATAAGTCAAGAGCTACCATCACAAGAGAAAACGCAAAATAGGACTAGGAAATATTCATTATCACATTCATAATCTCACATTAAAAGTAGCCAATAATCATACCTAATCAAGTATGTAATACAAATGAAGCTACTGAAAAGAAAGTGATGAAGGAATAGGTTGGAAAGAGGAGAAGGAAAACAAATTATCTCCAAAAGTAATAACTACATAACGGAACAGATAATAAGTTGTACATAATAATTTCTTTTTAAGGCAATTCCAGTGTACTAAATGTTTGTTATCTTTTCCAACTCAAAAAGCCAGATCAAAAGCTGGGAGAGTAGGAGGATTTTTGAAGATGAATAAACCTGGCATGAGTTCACCAAGGATTTACACACTACAAAGTAAACTGGTGACCTGGCCGTGCGCCATTGAATGTTTGCTTGGCAGATTCTAGCATTAATTGTAGTAGTCCTTCTCTAAAATCAATAATTGAAAGTCTAGTAACGAGACACAGACACTAGTTATGTGACAAGTAAGACACCAAATTTCAGAATATTTGAAAACTACTGGCAAACGTCTTCATAAACAAAACAACTTTTTAAGAAGTCTAATCTACCACCAATATTGAAAAGGGATACCAAAAAAATGCATTACTAATTAATAACCTATTTGTTTTGTGTTAAGTAACTGCCTACATTTAAGGAAAAAAAGGAGGTTATTCATTCACTAGTTGACAACAATTTTTCAAAATCCTATGTTTTAATCTTCAATATAAAAGAAGTTCTGAAATTCAAATTAAATTAAAGTACAGTGTCTCCATAAAATATAAATACAACCAAATTACCCGAGATCTTTCTTTCAAATCATAATATATTTAAATATCTCATTTTTAGGAAAAATTTACTAGTGCAGCAAAGGATGAAAAGTCTTACAAAAAAATTGCACAATTGCACAGTATTCACTTTTGTCACTAAAATGAAGACAAGCAGCAGCACAAGCTTCAAACAATTCAAAGCTCAACTAATTAAGTCAAACAAATAACAATAAGCTGGCCAAAAGAGCAATGAAACCGCAAGTTGCTTTTGAAAGTATGTGTTCTACACATTTTCTATTCAGGTAAACATTTTGTATTAAAAATTAGCGCCTAGTCTATTACAGAGTCAAATTAAATTTTGGACATCTGGGTATTGTTTCTTTCTTCTCACTATGAAACTTCAAACGCTTTAAAGGGTATATTGAGAATTGAAATGAATACCTATCTTATTGTAATGACAACAGAAATGCTCGTACAAAAGGGGAAGAAGTATTGCTCATCCTTGATAACAGGAGCCTTAAGCATGCATGTTGGATTAAAGATCTGGATTGTACAGAAATGTTTTATTAAATTAATTTTTAAATGGAAACTGGAAAGCAGTTTTGGAAGTAACAAGACAAATGCACAATATCAAAAAAGGAACATTCATAATTAATAATTACTACCCACAACTATCGCCTTTCACAGGTCATGGATCTTCTTGGAACTTTTGGTCTTTGAAGCTTTCCTTCTTCTCAATAGCAAACTTAGTTACTTCAGTTAAACAACAAAAAACATTCAAACAATCAACTTTTGCATTTTCACTCATGATGGAAATGATCAAAACCTCAACACATTTTATTTTTCCACAGTTTGAAGCAAGAACTCCCTCAAAACTTTCCACCAATAATCTCAATGACATCTTAAAACCGAAAGTGCAACTCACATACATCACACAAAACAGCACAAGCAAGAGGAGTGCTAGCTCACCTGTTCCCTGTGGGTGGCCTGCGCACTGGCCATTTCTGCCGAGAAGCCCGCCCTCAGAGCCTGCTCACGCGCACTAAATTCTGCATCCAGGTGCTGCTTGAGGCGAGCGACAGCCTCTCTATGAGCCCTGTGCATTTCCTCTCGGAGCGTCTGCAAGTGGCCCTGGAGCTCAGTGGTGGAAGCGTCCGCTTCCTTCTGGGCTTCTTCCGAACCAGGCGACTCCCTCAGGCTTTCATCCAACTTTCTCTCCACCTGCACACAAATTAGTCGCTCATCACTCGTTGAAAGCACTCATCATCTTCAAAGCAGTTAATATTGCTATTCAACTCATCCAAAAATTTAGAGAAGTCTATCAGTACAAACTCCAAACATTTTGTGCAATCAACAAAAATCTCACATCTTCACTAAAATGTTCCCTAATTGATTTACTTATCTATCCAACAATGGGATGAACCTTCGACAAACAAATCATAAAAAATCATATAATTTCACAGTAAGAGCTTGGCTGAAGACAGTGCACGATTTTAATCAAATACAGAGAAATCTCAGTATAACAGACTATGTTGCCCCCAGATTTTCTGGAATATGTATTTTGTAACATTTCTTCTAAAGTCGTATTCATTGTATGCAACATGCATAAAATAACATATCAATATTACATGTCAATTAAATTTGTGAAGGCAAGACCTTTTTGGCATAACACAGCAGATAGAAGCAAGCCAGCTGCTACAATTCTCCTGTAGATAGCAACTGAATTCCATCTCTCTTTGTAGCTAGGGTTGAAAATCCTGCCTGGACGCAAACTCTAGGACCTGCTGTCCACAGGTAACAATTGGTAACAACAATCATCAATTAATGCCCTAAGCCACTTAAGCCGGTGGATGGGACAAAACAAACCTCGGAAGCCCTTTGCTGAAGTTGCCATCTGCGAAGACGCATCTCTTGAGCTCGCAATTCCGCTTGCAACTGCACTCTCTGGATCTGCAGCATTTGTTCACGCTCCCTCAACTTGTCTTCCAGCTGCTGTAACTCTGCCTGCAGGTTGCACTTCTGTTGGAATAGTTCCTACACAAAAAAACAAACAAGTTCACCACATTGTCAAATATAAATCACTTATTTCATAACAGCTCTTCAAGAATCCTGGGTATCGCTGAAACTAGAATTCAAAACATTTGGTCAATTAAGAAAACTGAAGTCATAACAATATATATTTTCCCCATTACATACATTAAACACTTATTTCCTTCACTCTATACATATTAGGTCACTGATTTAAACACAAATAGTTTAATTCACAAATAATGTTTTGGTTGTACTTTCTCAACCGAAGTAAACTGTAACGTATGGTCTGTCCAAGCCAGTCGATTATATGGTAGGTTATAAAACAGATGTATTCCTCCATGTGTCAGATGGGTCATCAACAGATGCCTCCAAGAGTTAGTCCATTTAGAGAACAGGGATAGTTTTCACGCATGATTGCATTACGATATTGTCACTAAAATAATATTGTAAGAATCTATACAAATCATGTCAAAAAGCAGATGAGAATATGGACAAGCATCTCTGGCACATAAAATTTGGGAGGGACAAGAAACAAAGTGTCAATCTCTGCAGAATTTTAGTTCTCGCCTCGAAATTTTTTATTAGTTTATTGAAGTTAATATGTGCTCATGATGATTTAAAAATTGTAGAGAAGAAGAATACATTAAATCCAAAAGTCCTCCTTGACTCATTGTATGTCACTGCCACTGCACAATTAGGATAGACCCGCAGAGCGAGGCTGATTCAGTAGTGCGTACAGGGTTCTAAGTGATGTGAACAAGAGTGAATAGTTGAAAAGGTGAATTGTTGAAACATGCGAGTTGTTTGCATGAAAATGTGTAATTAAAACGGAAAGTATTAAATCATAAGAGAAGAGACTGGACGAATGCAGTGTATTCAGGGTGACATGAACATGGGGAATATCACCATATTTTTCTCACAAATCGTGATAATGAAAAATTTTCTAGGTTTGTGCAAATAGAAGTAGGTTAGAAAGAAACCAAGACACCAGTTGAAGAAATACATCTACTAGTTGAGTCCATTGCCTGGACAGTTTCTTCTCACGTCTTAGTAATAACACTCATCTCTAAATGCACTCTGGCAAATTGGCAGCCTCAAAAACACTTTATTAATTAACAGTTGCCCGTTAATGATCACACGCTGGCGGGCTCAGACCGCGGGATATTTTCGTGAACTTGCGCACACAAGAAAAATCAAATTTGACTGTTCTAAATCACACCACAGTTCTCTGTATGTGCTCTGGCTCACAGCCTACATAAATGCAAATAGTTCGTTACGCATTGCGTCCCGTGTGCTTCTACCCTAAACATCACTTGGAAGTGGAAAGCGCAGCACTTGCCTGGTGGAGGAGATCCTTCTCCTGTAGCTGCTGCTCAAGGAGCTGCAGCCTCAGCCTGGAGCTCTGCGCTTCCGCCCTTTCCGTCGCGAGCTGCTCCTCCACAGAACCCTTCGCCTGCAACACATTCATGTTCACTCAAGTGCCAATTAGCCTTGGCCAATTATACCTAACCACTGCACAAATTACCAACAGATGGGGTCACCAGATCCCAGCACATAAATTTTTATTTGTTTTTGACAATTTTGATAAATTGTATTGAATTTCATGAGAAAACCCTTAGCATTTTTGTCAAATAAAGGCCACTGTGTCTTCTTAATACAGCAACGTATTAAACTATTTTATACTAGTACTAAAAATACTACAAATATTATCCAAATGAATTCCAAATTTTCAGTTTTTCAGTGAATAGCCCTGAATTTTTTTTTATCCACAGCTGTAGTACCTCAAATTGTATCAAAACACTGCAAGTTTTATGTAATATTCTATTATTATAAAAGAATAAATAAAAATATATTATAATTAAGAGGATGAGAAGCAAACTGATAAAAGCAACCATTTTTTTTTTAATTTCAAATTTTTAGAATTTTACAAGGTTAAGCAGCAAATTCTGTCTCTTCAAAAACACCATAATGCCATGAAAGATCTGGACATACAATTTGCAGGAAAAATTACCATATTTTCAAAAATATTAAAGTAAAACATTTAAATTGCAAAAATGCAAAAACAGACCAGATTTACTGTATTTACGCAAATATAAGGTTTTTTCATAAATATCTCATTTAAAAAATAGAGGGCCAGAGACAGAATGACAAAAAAAAATATTTTTTTTTTTTTTACAAAAAACATCTTGTAGCTCAAGGTTTGCTGCATCTTTCACAAAACAGAGATGTACAAGTTTGCAGTTCACAACACAATCTCATACAAACATTTTCAAGAACATTCTGTTAAAGAATCAGAGGCCACAAAGAAGAAAGAAATAGGGAGAAAATCTTGTGATTCAAAAGGAAACGTTCTTAAGCAGTGTAAGATGAAAGTAAATTCAACAGCCAAAAATTTCATGTGGGCATAAAGTCTAAGGGTATGGAAGAAGGATCAAAACAACACAATGACACATGTGAAGATAAAATGAAAAAAAAAGAAGTGATTAAGATGATTTTAAGGACAAGAAAATAGAGATAACGCATGCTAAGCTTTAACATTCTCAACAAAAACACAATTTTCCAATCATTTAGACAATTTTTATTTTGAATAAATAATAAGAATTATGTGTTTTTTTTTTAATTTTATTTCAGGAGGTCTTTTCAAAATGAGGGGGTCACCTTATATTTGCAAAAATACAGTACATCTCTCTAATACTGAGCTAAGAGTCAGCTCCCTACAACATAATTAAGGTAATATGAAATATAATGTATTAACACGTGTGTCATTCACAAGACACTAAAAATATTTCATGTTGCCTTTCGCACACATATACAACATAAATGATTGTCTGCATTTCTGGCACAGAGCAGGTGTATATACCACAGTCAATGCAGTTAAAATCATCTCTAAATGATTTGTACCTACTGTAGATGTGTGACTTATTCAGTGATAACCTGATGTAAAGAGCTTACACAGCAACCTGTGCAAATGTAAGGGGAAAAAGTAAAACTTAGTACTCAGCCCTACAATGCTGTAAATTAACATCAATCTTGAAGTATTCACCTGCACCAAAGCCAAGAGTTCTTCTTTCTGCTGGCGAAGCGCTTCTTGCAGAGCACCAGTTGAACCAACGGCTTCTGCAAGGCTTGCATGCTGCTCCCTGTACACTGACAGCTTCGCCAAGAGGTCTACTTCTGCAGAGGGGCCTTCCTGGGAACTGGAACTCTGCAAAAGAAAAAGCTCAGGTGACAAAGATGGAGGGGAAAATAAATTACTAGGACACTATAAAAACATATTAGTAGATTTTCTTATTAACATTACAAACTTATTACTTTCTTAGTCTTTTATTCTCACTTTATTTTAAATCTCTATAGACCTATAGGGAATTCAGTTCCTCCCAGACAGTTTTTCAATAAAAGAACAAGAACACACAAAATAAGTAAGCTAAATATTGTTAAAACACAAAACACTGACCTAACTATTGAAGTAAGACGACATGAAAATGCTTAGATATTTGTCATTGTTAAATTACGAAACTCCATTAACATGATTTAAAGCACGAAAAATAATGGATATCGATTACCACTGCAAATGTCTGTTATTTTATTAAAAGAAGTAACAAAATTACAAAAAGAAAGAAGAGAAAAACCAATTACAACCAAGACAGACAAATTAAGATTCTAAGGTTTAACATCTGAATAAATAATATCATGCACATTACCAACCATATATTATGAGCACTGACAACTTTTATTCAATCAACCCTTCAGCAGAGGAACTTGTTAATCACTGCTTATTACATTACCTGAGCAAGTGTGTGAGCTTGTTGCTTTTGAAGTTGGTCTAATAAATTCTGCTTTTCCTGCAGTAATTCTAAGTTGCTCTTCATCAATGCCTTGAGTTTCCGTTCCATTTCCAAAGGTTCCTGAGTACAACTCCTTTCCAGCACCATATGTTCATTGCGCGTGCGCTCGCTCTGTAGCTCTCGACGCAAACTCACCAACTACCAAAAAGTAATACAAGGGTTATAGACTGCCTTCTTCAGAGTATATAATGACACCAAAAACCTCCATGAATTGACACTAAAACTAGGACGAGTTTGCAACTCCAAACACATGAAAAGTTTTTCAAAATTGCAATATAAAACCTCAGAAACAAGGGGACATGACCCCAATCAGAAAGGCAGAGGAATATCCATTTTGGTCAAAATCCTGTATAAGGTTCAGGCGCTACTGTAGTCCACAGAACCTTTTTTATGAGAAAAAGGACTCCCAAAAGGTATCAAAATCTCAATAATTTTTTCTAGCACTACATAACTTCTTTGAACTATGTACACAAAATGTGAAAATAAATGTTATGTATACATTGATAGAAAATGAATAAATTAACATTAACTAAAAATCCATGCAGTTACTAATATATGCTGTATGAAATAACAAAGTGCTGACCGTTTTTAGAAATTCTGTGCACTTCAAGAGAACAAAAACCAAGATAACTTAATATTTAAAACATTTTAAATAACTAATAATGATTTTTTAATTGATCACTATTCATTTGCTTATTTCATTCAATATTTTATATAGGAATAAACAGCTCATTGGTGCAACACTGTGAGTTTAAAGTTAGTACGTCAACAAATTTTCAAATTGCAATGTAATTGTGATTAATCAAGTTGTATGAAATGATAATAGTTCTTTTGAAAATGTAACCAGAAAATATATTTATTCAGTAATGGTTTTGATTTCGGTCTCACTATTGAAAGATTTTCAATTAGTTTTGGTTTGATGCCCTGAAAAAAGCCAAGTTATAACAAACATTTACGAAATTTGATAAATATAGAAATATATTAAGAATGTTTCTCAGTTATGAAACATTAAAAAACATTTGGATGTCAACCCATTCAATGAGATTGGTCTGATGTGACTTGTAACTTACCTCCTGAGCCATTTCCTCCACCATGGTGTGCACTTCCTGATGCAGGTGGAAGACGGGGCTCTCACCAGCGTCAGGAAGCGCAACGGCAGAACTGTCCAGGCCACTCGCCTTGCTCTCCCTCCGCAGGCCTGCGATGGCCAGCTCGCAGCGAGTGCGACCCAGCTGCTCCTCAGCATCCGCCTGCTCCTGCCAGGCTGCCTCCAGCTGCTCCCGGGTGCGTCGAGCATCCTCCAGGAACATCTGCACAGACACATGCACAGTTCCAACTTCCAAAAGTAAACTAGCTGACGATTGTTTGAACAACTTCATACTGGCTTATTGCTTCTTGTCCTTTCTCTAAACAACAGTATACTTCAAAATTTCAGACGGCTGATATTTTATAATTAATATATTTCATATCTATTTAAAACCTACATTAAACAAATTTTTGACTGTCTTTAAATAATGTTTCGGAAGTTACTGCACCCCTATTTTCAGATCTATTGTGATGCAATAAAATTTGGAAGATGATTAGTCAAGCTGATGATAAGAATAACCCTTTAGTTTTGAACAACAACATATCTCATCTTGAACAACACTCCATCTCACACTGTGCCACAACATAGCTCATTCAGGTTTTTTAAGTGATTTCCGAAGAGGTGGAAGTAATAGAGTCTTTCTCCACTAGACATTATGGCTAATGTGAGTTTTTATTTTAAGAGGAACATGTGAAATTTTCAGATTATAGTTCTGTTGTATTGCATTTTGCTCCCTAAAGATTATAAAATTGATGTACTGATGTGCTACTGCTAGTGGCACAAGTGAATTAGATTTTATCAGTAGAGAGAATAAGGGAAGTATAAGTGAAACTGATCAAGAGCAGATGCAAATTTATGATACTTCAAAAATTCACAAAGTTTGCAAATTATTTACGTTCTCCACAAATGGAATATTTTCAACTGTTACAAAAATAAAATTGCCTATTTAACAGAGCCACATTTTGGCTGAGTACATTCCTAAACTATAAAATTTACATATGTGAATAAATAATAAATACATGTGCACTGTGGGGAAGTTGCAATGAGAATGGAGTCTGGCCAAAGCGGTTAGTCAAGCTTAAAAGTTAAACCACATCAGGGCAGTGAAGTGGACATTACAGTAAAAATACAAATCTAACTAATACAATTCATCACAGGTTTTCAAAAACTGACCGAAAATATGATAATTTAATTATATATTTTTAAATATCGTCTCCTAAACTTTTTAACAACTTTGTTTCCGAGCAATTGTTGCGCGTGCATCAGTTGTTTACTTCACAGTCGCCTTCGAATATAGCAGAAAACACCGTGCTTAATCAGAAGTTATCCATTAAAATCTTGACCAACACCGTAAGAGGCATGCTACCAAAAGCATGCCCCAAAATAAGATAGATGCCCACATATCACTTTCTGAGCATTTTTACCTTTACACATATTTAAAACAATATTATACACATTATAATACACAACACATTTAATTAGTAAATAGTTTAAACATAGAAGGAGAATCAAATTATAACTTAAATGATACAAGTAATAAGTACAGTGATTGATTTTATGTTACACCATTTAAACAAGTTCCAGTTGGCTTGGACAACCTCTTTCCTTAATATTATAAAACAATTTCCCAAATTCTTAGGTTAAAAATGAGAAAAGTCGGAGATTAAACATTTAAGGAGATTCTATGTTTGATTATGCAAGGCCACAGGGCACCTCTGAAAATTTTCAGAGGTAGGTACCACTTTTTATTGCTAAAATTAGAAATTAAAAACCCATAAAAAGCTGCTGTCCGCTCTGATCAGCAGTTTTGCTATGAACTTCCATTGGTTTCCATCAGCTCTTGGTAGTGTAAGGGTAAAAGAAAGATAACGTAAACGAAGTCTATGAAGTGGGGACTCTCCTGCAAGACTAACATGGGGATCAGTTCTCATAAAAACAAATACACAGACACATGAGCTCAAAACACCTGACACAACACTTGAAAATTGCACTTACTAATTTCCAACACTCACAGAAATTGAAAGAAAATTATGCAGCCTCCAACCATGTGAGAGGAGACTATGGTTCAGTATGACACCTAGAAACTCAGGAAAAATACTATGACAATGAAACAGTTGCAATTTTGGCTCGAAAATGCAAATATTTGATGTGTTATTCTAGCTGCACATAGTCTCAATGCCCATACTCAATACATCACTGCTCACAATACAAATGACATTACGCAACAAGACTTAAAGGAAGAGGCCATGAGCCTTTAACTACATGCTATTTCTAAGTTGCATTACAAAACAGCTTTTTTGACATACTTGAAATGTAAAGAACTGTGTTACATTTTATCAGTATATACTATACTATGTCACTGCAGTATCTGTGAAAACTATTTTCATTAAAATATTTACTTCATTGCGGTGTTACATGAGAGTATTTTATTTGAAGTTCTTGAGTAGTGTATGCATGGGCTAAAATGTTTTCAAAAACATTTTGTATGGCTTTGTTGACGAGCATACTGCAGGCACGTAGCATTACTTTAAAATGTATTATAAACAAAATACTTACCTCAAACTGTTTCAGCATATCCTGTTTAGTTTTCTCCAGAGCTTCCACATGGGCTTGAAGTACCTGACTATCGCGTTCTGTAACTTTAAGCTTCTCTTGCAAAATAGCCACTTCTGTCACTTTCACTGCCAATTCCTGGCCAAGACCCTTAGGATCGCTGTTCCTAGATCCCATCTTCTTCAAGTGTTGCAGTTCCTCACGCAGGGACAGAAGCTCATCCTGGAGAGAAACCTTTGCTGCTTTCAGAGCACAGTTTTCCCCTTCCAAGGCACGCAGCTCACACTGCAGGGCCATTTTCGCGCCGGCCAATGCCTCCCGCGTGGGTTCCTGCTGCTGAGCGTCCTGCAGACGCAGCTCCAGAGCCTCACAGCGCGAATTTGCTGTACGCAAACGCAACACAGAGAATATTGTATTTTACAAATAAGATAACTAAAGGAAACAAACAGTAGGTACAGTACAGAAACAAAACATTAGTATTAGTACATCACAGTAGGACTTCCCTAGTACTTTGACCAGAATATTTTAAACCAATTACACAACAGAGCAATTAAACCCCTGCAACTTTCCCATTACCAATAAATTTCAACAGAACATTGTTGACTTTTTGAGATATTTCATTAACTGAATACATATGGCTTTCAAAATAAAAGAGATCAAGTTCACATTATGTTAATTGAAAATTTAAAGTAGCAAGAAACAATCTTCAAGTAACAATATTCAACACTGCAATTCCAATTGACAAGCACCCAAAACAAGTACTTTTTTTGACAATACTCCAATTGAAATTGCACCGCTTCAAATGAAAACTAATGACAGTCTAAATGAAAAATACTTTAGGCAACTCTTCACTCACAAGGAAAAAAACAAACCCTTTTCACAAGTTAATATTTACCATTCTTAAAGTATAAAACATTCAACAAGGATAATATTACATTGTTTCATTGGCATCATTATCAAAAACAAATTAAAAGTAGGATTGAATCTTAAAACTACATTCATGAACTTGTCAATATTGTAAATGCAATGGACTCAACACAAATATAGAATTTATAACTCCAGCAAATACTTTACTCTGTAGCCTCCTGCAGACGCCTTGGCACTCGATTTGAATGAAGACCACTACGCATGCAGTGTTGCAGAGTGGCGCCTTTCCATCCAAACCCTCTAGACAGCACAAAAGTGTCTGCCCTCTGACCAGTTTAAGCTTATTATGTTGCACAATTCTCCCTTTTGAAATGGTAGATACTCTTTTAATTGCACATATTGATTCTTTGCGATTGCAATAGTCTTTAAAACACTATTTTCAATTTCTAGTTTTCTCACAAATTTAAAAATTTCTGGTTAACTCTGCCAAGTCATCTTAAGAACCCATGTTAAAATTTATGGTCTTATTAAATAAAAACTGGACAGTCAAAACAAATTCAAACTCTACAAGAACATAGAAGAATATTTTCTCTTTCAATTAACGCTATAAAAAGTGCATGTTAAATACATCGCTCTAACCCCTTTATGGGGTTCTCAAATTTATTACTTTCTAAAACATAATATATGTATTGAATATTTTCTGAACTTTATCTTTTTTTCACATATTATTCATAAAATCAGTTTTAATTATAAAAATGCTCAGGAGCGACTCAATGGCATCTTCAAACTATTGCAACTCCAATTGTCTGAACTTTTAAGTATTACTGTACACTGGATTCAAAGAATTGTAACTTGGAACATTTGGGAGATTCAAAACCGTTTCGACTTGTTTCATAAATAAATTCAATTCAAGGGCCTGGATTTTAATGTTTCTTATCTTGAAATTAAAATTTCAGAGGTTTAAAAATAAAGTTACCAGCAGCCAATTCTTCGTTGAAAAGTAGCTCTTGTGCTTCCCTTTCTTCCAAACGACCACGCAATGCATCACATTCAGATGCTAGTGTTCTTTTAGCTGCATCCAACACAGCACAATGCTGCATTAATTTCAGAACAACAGCATGCAAGGATCTGCAAAACAAAACAATTATAAAATCTTAATTAAGTATCTACTCCAAAGTTCAGTACACCAATGGCAGAAACACTTTACTATTCTTCCATGACAAATACTCTTCTCACAACTCTAATGTAAGAGCACATACACTGTTCGTTGAACGAATTACTCAACTAAGTTACTATAGGCATGGGGAAGCTTTGTGAGGCGTGATGCATTGCAAATATTAATTCATATTAATCAAATTTACATCACATTGCAATGCGGCGAATATGACATCTCACCCTGCTGGAAATGGTTGCAGGAAGGTAATGTAAGGAAGGCTCTGTTAATTTCAAGAATTAAACATCAGTTTACTGTCATGTTTAATTCTTACAGTTATGTAGACAGGTTCATGACCAGCCAAAAACTATGGTAATGCATAATAATAAAAAGTATTTAAATGTTTTATCCATGAATAAAGTAGATACTAATAAAATTTAAGAAAAAGCATTCAAAGAAAATATGGGTCTCAAAAAACATTTGCATCAAAACAGGCAAAAAAGGCAACATATAACTTCATTGAAATGTCTACATTTTGGTAATTCGTACACATATATTCAAAGCCTTTAAATAAGATTATAGAAATATAAAAGCCATTTTTCTTAACATACAATGTCTAGCCTTCATAAAGTATCACATAGCATAAAAATAATATTTAAATGCATCTTCAATAAAATAAAATGTTCCTAACACAAAAATTTTGAAGGCAGAAAAAGAAAACAGAGAGCACTCACCTATTTGGCTTCAGTGAGCTCGCAGCATCACCTGCTGCATGAACAGTAGCAGCATCTGCTGCATCGCTTTCTTCCAGTCCACGTACTCCAAGATCCAAGAAATCCAAAGATGTGCTCAGATTACTACTGTTCACATTATACTCTCTAAGTTGAACACAGGCTGCTTCTTCCTTGACACTGTCCAACTGCTCTTGCGTACCCTTCTCTACACCCATTCCTTCATGTCGCAACTCACCAGCTGTTGAAGATATTTCGTTCTGCTGTTCTCTCATGCGAACAAGTTCAGCCTTCCTTTCTTCCAAAAGTTCCTCCACTTTGCTCTTCTCAGCAAGCAATTTTCTATGTTCATCTAGGAGGACATTATACTGAAGAACTAAATTATTCTGCGAATTTTGTGACATTTTCAACAATCCTTCAGATTCAGCACCATAGGTTGCGAGTGAGTTCTCAGTCTTTAACTGTTCAATTGCATTAGCTAAATCTGCCTTTTCCTCAAGTAATTTTTCTTTATCTTTCTCAGATTGTTTGTACTTATTAACAATTTTGTCTCTTTCTCTTTCAATATTCCTCAGTTTCTCTTCACTGTCCAATAATTTTGAATTAAGACGAGATATTTCTTCTTCTAAGTTTTTGCACTTATTACATGCCCCCACTTCCATTTCTGCTACCTCTTTTTGCAGAGAACTTTCTGCTTCAGTTTTTCCAGCAAGGAGGGACTGAGCGGTTAAAAATTTAACAGTAAGTTCTTCCAACTGTTCTTTAGAACTCTTTTTCTCTTCATCAATTTTACCCAACTCTTTCTGCAAGTGATCAATACGTTTCTTGAGAATTATTTCATTTTCCTCTTTTGCAGCTAATAATCCTTCAGTGGCAGAAGACTTCTGTTTAATTGAATGTAGATCTGAAACAAGTCTCTCTACATGGCTACGTAAAGCTGACACATCATGATGTATGGTGGCTGCACTAACAAAGCTCTGCTCCAAACTTCCATGTCCTTCTTTTTGTGACCAATCTGGACTCCAGTTGTCTTTACCATTCATGAAAGAAGACTCTTCACTACTTTTTTGTTTATTGTCCTCCTCATTCATGGTCTCTTTATTCGGAGCACAAATATTGACTAGATTGTGCAACTCAACTCGCACTTTTGAGATTTCATCCTGAAGGTTAACTTTCAAGAGTTCTATGTACTCTCTGGTTCGTGTCAGATCCTTCTGACAAGCGTCTAAAGCTTCTGACTTCTTTTGAAGGACACTTTCTTGATCTTGAAGGGTAATTTCTTGTTCAGACACCTTCCTCACAAAAGAATCTTTCTCAGACACACACTCTGTGTGGATTTTAGAAATTTCTTCAAGCCTTTCGTTTGTTATCCTCAACTGATCTTTATACAGTGTGACCTCTTCACAAATTTCAGTCATTTTAGTCAAGCTTTCTTTCAAAGAGCCGTTTTCAGCAAGACAATTAGCATTACTTCTAGAGAGTTCATCTATTTTTTCACTGGCTTCTTTCAATTGCTGAACATATTCCGTTATCTCATTTTCGTATCTGGCAGATAATTTATTAATGTGAGCAGTAAAATTTTCTTTCTCAGAAACACAACCACCATGTGCTCTTGAAAGTTGCTCATACTTTCTTCCCGCTTCAAGCAACAAGTCGTCTTTCTCTTTTTGATCCTTCTCTAATCCAGTAACGAGGCTTTTAAGAGCTTCTTGTTCAGCATGGCAGCTTCTGTGCACTTGGGAAAGTTCTTCCAATTTCTCAAAAGTGACTTTCAACTTATCTTTGTATGAACTGGTCTTTTCATGATCTATTAATAATTTATCTATTTCAGTCTTCAAAGATTCTTTCTCTGATTCACATTGTGAATGGGTTTTCATGAGATCTTCTAACTTTTTATGGACTGCTTGCAACTGTTCTTCGTATAGATTTACCTCTTTCTGGTGATTTTCTGCTAACTTGTTAATATGATCTCTGAAAGATTTTTCTATGTCATTCTTTTCATTTAGGGCATGTTGTAACTTGCTTTCCAATTGCAACAATTCTGTTTCTGAAATACTACTGAAATTTAAGCTGTCTCTGTCCTTCGGGCTCTTTTCCTGAGTAACATTCAGCTCTTGGAGACCAGCTTGCATTGCCGACACGTTCTGCATCTGTTCTTCTTCTACTACCTGGTCTTCTGGTTTCCGGGATTTTGCATCAGTGCTCATTTTCTCCCAAAGAAGTCCCGCATTGTTCTCTCTTTCTTGCACAAACTGCTGTTGAGCTTGCAGCAAAAGCTTGTTGACATCATCAAATTTACAGGCAGACTCTTCCATCTGTACGCTCAATTTACCAATGTGTTCGTTTTTAACAGATATTTCAGCCTCAAGATCTCTTATCTTATTTGTGTACATCGTTACATCTTTTGACTGACAATCTTCCACATGTGTTAGCTTTGCTTGAAACTCCTCAATCTGATTTTTCTTCTCTTTTAAGTTGTTTTTCACTTCCAAGAGCTCTTTATTTAATTCTGCCATCTCTTTTTTATGTATTACTTCAGCCTTCTCCTTCTTGGTGGCTGTCTCATTCAGTTTTTCGATTTGCTCTTTGTATGAAGACACTTCTTTTCTTATGTCTGCAAGCTCCTTTCCAAGCTCCTCTGCCCTTTTCCTCTCCTCATTCATTTTCTGCACATACTCCTGCCTCAAACGTGAAGTTTCTTCTTCAAATGTGTTGTTTAAGGTTTCCAACTGTTCTTTATAACCCTTTAACTCTTGCTGACACTCTGAAATTTCAATGAGATGAAGATCTCTGGTCTTCAACGCTTCCTGCAGGTTGTTCTTGAGCTCTTCTATGTGCTGCTTGTGCTTAGAAATCTCCTTCTCGTACCCTTCACGCATCATCATATTCTCATCAGCACGGAGACACTCGTCGTCTAATCGCTTGTTTAAGCGATCTAACTTTAGTTGATACGAAGCATTGTCCTCGGTAAGGGACTTGACACACACAGACAAATCATTAATCAACACCTCCTTGGTCTTTGCAGATTGCGAAACTTGTTCTCTTATGAGTTCCAAATCATGAATGTATGACTTTTGAGACTCGATCTCTTGGCGCATAGAAATCGCTTCATTGTCCAGAGAATTCTGTTGGGATGTCAGTTCATTGATCTTGGCGCTAAGCACATCAACCTGCTCTTTGTGCATCTTTGCGGCTGCAATCAGTTCTTCCTGAAGACGCTGCTCTGTACGAAGGCGTTCCTCCAGGTCAGAGTTCAAATTCTCTAAATGCTGCTGATTTTCTTTCAGTGCAGCCACTTCAGCAGAAACCGCCTGTAATTCTGCTTTCAGAGCTCCTTCTGCTTTTTGTTTCTCTTGCACTAAGAGATTAAGCTTGTTAATCTGTTCTTTGTATTCCTGAACGTCTGGCAGGGTTTTCAGAGTAAGTAGTTCATTTCGAACGGCTTCCAATTCTCCTTCCAGTCTTCTTTCAGTCTCCTGTTTGCTCAAAAGCTCTTCCCGGGCTCTTGCCTGGATGTCCTGAACTTCCGAACTCAACCTACTCTCAATTGTATTGAGATCAAACGTCAAGGCTTTCACCCGTGACTCATAGTCCGAGATTATTTTATGTTCGCTTTGAGAGCGCTCTTGCAGCTGGCGATTCAAAGAATCAACTTGTGTTTTGTAAACCTCAGCTTCCCCTGTACTCTTTTTCAGTTCCTCCAGAGCACACTTCTGAGCTTTTAACTCGTTTTGCAAAAGCACCCCTTCTTGAACTTTTTCTTGAAGTTCAGTTCTCAACTGATCCTCAATTTGTACCTTCTCCTGCAACACTTGTTTTACAGAATTCAGCTCTGATTTGTACTTGTCAGTTTGTTCCTCTAATTCTTTCTTCAACATCTGCTCAACCTGCTCTCTCTCCAGCACTTGCTTTTTAAGCAATTCTTCTGTTTTTACCTTCTGCTGAAGCTGCTCGTTCAGTTTATCTATCTGTTCTTTGTACAACTTAGCATCTCCTTCTCTTGCAGAAGTTATCTTATCAGTAAGCACCTTTAGTTCTTCTCTTAACAACAATTCAGATCTCTCTTTCTCCTGCAATTCATTCCTTAATTTTTCAACATTATTTGCTTGTTGGTGCAACAGCTCTTTTTGCTGTTCAAAGGCACTTCGTAGCACCTGCCGTTCCTCCTGTATTTCCAACAACTTTCCCTTCAGTTTTTCCTCGGCCCGTATACTCGTCTCTAACTCGTTCTGCAGTCTCTTCTCCATCACAGTCTGCTCTTGGAGCTTCTCCTGTAAGCGAGCCACTTCCACTTTGAACTGCTTCATACCTTCCATCTGCCCACTGAGAAACGCAAGTTCCTTCGCATGAGCCTCCTGCAAGGAAGTTATTTCTGTCTCGTGAACTTTGGTGCATTCCTCCAGCCGCAACAAGTAGCTCTCAGCCACCTCTGATACTTTCTGCAGCTCCAAAGTCAAGGAGTCCACTCGCTTCCGCCAGGTGGCAACTTCAGAGGCCTGTGCTTGCTGATACATCACAAGCTCCTGTGTCTTGTCTTCCTCAGAAGTACGAAGCTTCTCCTTCAACAAATGCAGTTGCTCTTTTAAAGACACATTCTCGCTTTCCAGGGAAACACGCAAACTCTGTTGAGAATCATTTGTTTCAGATGAATACTTGAGGAGCTCTTCTGAAAGACTTTGCACCTGTGAACACGGAAACAAAAACAGAACTAAGAACACACAGATTCCAAATTTGCAATGGGGCTGAAATCAAATAATTTTTATTTTTAAAAATCACACTAAAAATTTTCAGAATTTCCCAATTGATAAAACAAAATTGATAAATCAACTTTGCTATTGATGACACAGACAGAGGATAATGATTATGATGGACAATGATTTTGCTTCTGATATTTACCTTTACATTACTAATTTTCACTACTGTATTACAGATATTACTATTTTATACTACTAATATTTACTATTGTACTTGTATACTACATATTATTTACCAATTCAGCCATATTTTTTATTTTGGTTCACAAAAATAAGCAGAAGAGGATAAAACGCATCTAAGTCAGATTTCATACTGTGAATTGCGAAGTACCCGCAGGTACAAGAGTTATTTTAAGTGCACTGTATTGACTAAAATATTATTTGTTTGCTATTTCTGTTACATTGTTACAATTGTATATTAGCAGTTACAAACACATATTAATTTTGTTTAGAGGACACCCTACAAGTAGAATCAGTATGTTACTCACAACGTTAAAAATAATTGTTGGAATAAAGAAATTGAAACTTTTACTGAAGTACCAGAAGTATTAATTGATTTGCAAGATTCTGATGAAGATTAAATAAAAGGAATGGAGAGTTCATAATAGGGATTCAGCTTTGTTACATTCAATATTTTACACTCGTTATTAGACATTTTAGATTAACTTAAACAATTTTCATAGCTAAAGTTACTCGCCATTTGTTTGAATTTATTCTTTCATATGATTTTTTGTGTTTTACACACTACATATTGTAATCGTTATTACATTTTTACTAGTGTGGTGACATGGCCAAAGAGAAGAATATTATGGCATTGCCATCCCTTACATCTTTACTTAGACAATCAGTATGACATTCTTCATTATTATTATCATGAACATGATCTTTATTATCCTGATCATCACTATCTCCATCTTATCAGAACAGGGAAAACACTGTTTCAAGAAACATTGAACTAATATACAATCGAAAACTAATGAATGTAAACAAAATGTTCCCACTATTCACAATATATCAGGGATTTTTGGGAATTTATTTTTTACTACAAAATAATTATTATATTTATGTGTTAAATATATAATTTGTTGCGAATTGATCACTTATGAAGAATAATGTATTATTCCCTGTGCTCCAAATGTAACAAAATGAAGAAAGACTGGGAGAAAAGTAATTATGTTTCAAATTCACTGTGTGATTCATTTCGAATTTCCGTCCCTTTGAACATCGCAGGCCGGGATGAAATCCTTGAGTTCAATAGTTGGCAGTACAGGCAGAGAGCCATCCAGGTCATCCTATTGGAGATTAGGTGCACCCTATTAGGCTGCCCAAAGAGTAATTTCTCCACCAAGGATCCCATTGTGTAATCCCAAATATTTAAGCCTTTCTTTGAAGAAAAATGGTTCAATTTGTCAATGCTCTAAAATAATATTAGATTATTCTTTTATGGCTAGTAGTTTTCATACATTTAGAAAATAGTTGGCATGTAAACATACATTTTGCCTAGTCTTCACATTTTCTTAACATTCTTTCACAATTCCAAGTGTGTATTTCAAAAGTGAGTGAAGTGTTATAAAACCACTAATAAAATATTTAAAAAGAAGATCAAGAAGATGAAAAGATAACGACAAAAAAGAACAAGACAAAAAGGTGTAGAACAGAACGATGATGGAAAAGAATATGACAAAGGTGAACAACACAAAAAAAAAGAAAATCGAGAAGAAAAAGATAGCAGAGGAAAGAATAGAAAGAAAAGATAAGGACGATTACTTTAAAAATTAGAACAAATTTTTGATATACAGACAGAACAGTGCACAACGTAGTATTCACAAATATCGATGGAGATGCAAATATGAAAGCGATTGTTAGTGAAGACTTAACGAAGAATATAAAGACTTCAAAGGCTTAATAGTACCCCAAGCTTTAAGTACAAGTATCCTCTGACCTAACCAAGACACATTTAGCAGATATCTATCCAGAGCCTTGCAACTCTACATCAAAACAGGAGACAAAGCTTGATGGTGCTACTCTAGAAGGCGCTAGTGTTGCTAGCTAAAGCTGCAAGTTAGGCTTGTCAATTTCCTCACATAAAATTTGGCTAATTTGTGATAAATAGGGAAAGTGGCTTTTATATGATTAATTATTCATAATATACACATATAAGAAACCCCTGAAGAAGCGCAAACATCAGCGCTATCTTTTGTAACATTATGGTCTTGCTTACAACCCGCGAACTCACGCAGTAACCACGTATGTTTTGAAGTATCGTTGGCAGCAGTTCGTGTTATAGTTCCTGCAAGAAAGTGCTGCAGCAGAGCACGCCACCGTCATGGTTTCCACCATGTTACATGGGAGTTAAAAGGCCCAGTAAGTACCTCTAGAAATTCTTAGTGAAATGTATTGAAAATTACGACTTGTTTGGGTACAGAAAAGAAAGAAAACAAATGACTAATCACTGTCACAAAACCAGACACAGAGACATCCTATTCTGCCAAGTACACTTGTCCAATCCATTTGTCTAAAGCATACAGTAATAATTTGTTAACTATGACCGATAGAAGAAAGTGTAAATTCTGTGTAGAAAAGGTCACAATGTCTTCAAGTTTTGCGCACCTGCCCTTTGTAAAGTGCCAACTGGTTCACCAGGTCCTCTCGCTCCGAGGCCACATGGAGGGCTCTCTCGCTCAACTCCTGCAGCTGCTGTTGGGTGTCGCTGTCATTTGAAGAGGTGGTTGTGGTAATAGAAATACTTGCCACTTCCTCCGACTGATGTTGCTTTAGAACCTGCTCAGAGAATTGGATTCTGAAAAAGAGAACACGAGTTCAAATTTTTGCATAATTTTGCATTTTCCTGTACTAGCAAATATAGACACTAATATTTGCTTCTTCATAAATAAATAAATAAATAAATATTTATTCAGAAGTCCAATTTATAACAATGATGTTTCTAATCTCTTGGATAAGGATTTTATCAGGTTGCGTGAATGGTGTATTTGTAATTAAATTAATCTTAAGATAGATAACTGCAAACTTTTACAATGTCTTCATGGCTCTTGTACAATTGCTAGTGCCTGACAGGAGGGCCCTTGCAGACCCAGTACAGTCAACAGAGTTCTCATGAACTATTGGGCAGGAAATTAATCTACTCTGATTGTCCACAATGGAAAATGTACTAACACTGTTGTATCGCACATCAGCTGCATAAAAAATATTTTTTAAGATAATCCCATTCTGTGCGCACAGAGAAATGTAAATTTATAGAAAAATACATCCAACAAACCACTTTGAAATACACCGTACATAGTTCCTGTTGCAAATAGTCTACTTAATGCATGGTATCCACCCAGAGGACAGATATTTAATTTTCAATAAAAATTTTGTTGAAACTACACCAAATTGCTCATAAATAAGTTATGTTAGTTCTAAATTGTTTAAAAATAAGGGAAAACTTTTTCTGTCACATAATTTCAAAAGGAACTCCATTTTTTCTGAATTCTGAAATCTTGAGTTTTTCAACTTTCATCAGTCTCGAACACCCACATGTGTCTTAACAATTCAAACCAAAGTACTCCCTAAGGGAAAATTTGTAACTACAAAGAATAGACCATTCAATACTAGAGATCGTAGCAAAAGAATTGAGATTTGCATATTAACTGTAATATGAGTTACTGGGTGCCAATAATTTCTCAAAGAGCCATCCACAATTGAGGACACAATCCATAAGAAGGTTTAACTATTGCATCTATTTTGTTTATATCAATATATGTTTAACTAATAACAAGCCTAATAAAATGTTTTATACTTGAAATTATGCAACGATGTACCAATTGTTTTCTTCTCAGTTGTGTGCATCCTTACAAAATTCAAACGAATTTGAAGCTCAAAAAAGAAAGAAAACTACACGTCAGGTGAGAGTATTTTGCATTATGTCGAACCCCACTCATGAGCACAAAGGTTAAACAATCCTTATAACATTTTGATTGCAACACGAAACTGTAACACAACTTAATGCATGGTATATTTTTTGTACAATGTTTGAAACTTATCAATATATGTCTTTTGGCTAAACAGACAAACATACAAAACCCAGAAAAGACTTCTCAATCTGACAGACACTCCATTCTTTTTGTTGGAAGAGGTCAAAGAAAGACAATCATACAAGTTTTATCCTGGTATCTGAAAAGTATTTGTAAACCTTTAACACTTAGAAGGAAAAAGGCAGCTGAAAGTAGCGCAATATGTAAAACTCAAAAATGTAAAATTTTGTCACTAATAATAGACAGACCGTTTGAAAAAAAAACTGAATTTCCTTGTGAAATGGAGTTTGTTGTCATGCAGCCCACACACATGCAGTGTAATCTGCAGAATGATTTTCTACATTTTACGTTTCAAGTCAAAATATCTAGAAAATCTGCTTGATAATACTGAAGAATAAGCAATTGAAACAAAGGATATGCAATCTATTGAAAAAAATATGCAATTGCCTTTTCTCATAGAACAACAACAAAATGACTCTCGCTTACTGACTACTTCTTTTGTTCATTACCAACCTGTGGTTCTCCTGTATATGCATCAGCTGCTGTCCAAACTGCTCCTCAAGTTCTGCCCGCAACTCGGCCAACTGCCTCTGATGTTCTCGCTCCAGTCCCACCACTTGCTGAGCTCTCTGACGTTCAAGAGTCTTGCTATTGACAGCTTCACGGTGTAATCGCTCTACTTCTTGCATGAGTTGCTGCACCTTTACAAAAGTTGAAAAAATAGTAAATCATGAAATTCTGCACGAACATGCACAAAATAACTCATAACTATACTGCTCGTCATTGTTGATGGATGATGGCTACTGCGCATCTGAACCCATTTACTATCGTTTGATGAGAAAAATAGAGGGGCTAAATGAAGCAGATACTCATAAAACATGTAATAACTATTAAAGTCATTTGGACAAATAAGGCCTTAATTACATCACAAAAATAATTGGTTCAGTATTATATGAGTGTTTTAACAATTTCTCTTAAAATAATTACTTCAAAAATCTAAATTGTTTGCAGCATATCTCACAATGCCCAACTTCTGACATAAATTGCATCTCGCTTCACAGTGAGTTTTGGTGTATATATGCCAAAAATTATTTTTATCAACACTTAAGCTAAATATTTAATTGCCTACAACAATGTAACAGTAAACAAAATTATTATTTATTTTATTATCAAAAGGCAAGCTCAAAATCTACAAGAAAATATATGTTAGTCGTATAATATTTAAAGAATTCATTAATCTATTTCAGTATAAACTAACTATCCAATGATTTATAATAATGTTACACTGTAAGAAATAAAATATAAAACTAGAATTATAATATAATGATAATGATCAAGACATGTTTACAGTAAAAGAATGAAACCAGTATGTAATCACATTAATTTGGTTAAATGCGGTTATAACTCACATGTGTAGCTGCTTGTGATTTGTATTGAGTTAGTTCTCCTTTCTTTTGCTCAAGTTCTTTCTTCGCCCCTTGCTCTTCTGACAGTAGGCGCTGTAGTTCCTCAATGCGGGCATCTTTTTTCTTCGATGTATCTTCCAGTGCAAGCATCTAAAAATGGTGAAGATATTAAAGAAAAATAAGATGTAAATAAGAAAAATATTTAAAAGCTACTAAATAATTAAGTGGTAAGGGTCACACAACAGTTTGAATTTAGTTTGTTGTTGGGTGTTGTTTTCTTTAACAAATAAACTGAAAACTTTTTTTATTACAAAGTACTCTGATTTCTCCAAGAGAATCACTCGACATCACAAAGCCTTATGCATCCACCTTTAAACCCACTAAAATCACATATCGTTTTTGAAATAGACTTGTATTTATATTAATGCAAGTAAAGAACAACAGAGAAGAAATCTTTTACTCTAATTTCTGTACTCCTCCTACAGGAGTATAACACCTATTTTTTTTTTTATTTGAATGTGTGTGTGTGCATGTGCATCAAATAACAAAATGTTCTTTTTTGTCCAATATTGTATTCTGATCATATTTAATTTAAACTAAATTTTCAAAAAACAGTTGCACAACCCCAATATTAGTACTTTAACACAAAGCAATAGTCTTCAAATAAATAAAGAAAAGCTTCAGCTCTTTTGCCAAAAATACATCTAGATTATTGATGATACATCTTATTGACATATGGTAGCGTAATGCAACAATACTAAATAAGATCTAAGGACCAAAGAATGTCTAACCACCTGCAGTCCAAGGATTGAAGAAGAAATGAAACAAAAAGAAAACAAGCACATTTACACCATTAGAAAATTTCATTTAATTTGCAACCCAATAAGGGCCCAGGTAACCATTTCAGAAGTCTTCAAACGTAGATACAATCCCAAGATTTTCTTTTGGACTTGCTTTCTTATAAAATGAGTGCACACCTTCCAATCAAGGTGACCACTCATTTCCTGGAACAAATTTCCCTGATTTTTCTGGGTTTCCAAGAGTATTTACTTTTTATTTCTTCCTGATAAGATTTGTAATTTCACTTTTCTTTAAGAAAATATTAAAGCAATCCTGATACCAATAAGTCAGCCCTCTGATTTTGCCATGATAAAGAACAATATTTAACAATATTTTCTCACCAAATTAAAACTGAGCAAAAAATGTTTCTTGTAATACCGCTAATAATGTTTTTAAGGAATAATATCTGATTTTATGTCACACTCTAAATTTTCCCTGACTTTTATAAGTTCCCTTACTTTCTCTATGAAATTGCCTGGATGTCCCCAGTTTTCCACAAAGTGGCTACCCTGCCAATATCCTCACCCTATTCTGAAGCAGCATGAAATCGTGCTGTGACTTGGAAGAGCCTTGGGCCACCAGCTCGGAAGTGGCTTGCAGCTGCGATCGAAGCAATGACACTTCTTGCGCCAGGCGCTCGCCATCCTGTGCCAACTCATCCCTGGCCCTCAGTGTGTGTTCCAGGGAAGCTGAGAGCTGTTCTATCAGCTGGTCTCTGTGTTGCACAGCCTGTTGGAACTCCCCAACCTGAAAATGAATTCACACAAATATGTAAATATAATACCTTATTGTTATTTATTTAATTTATGGCAGCAGCAACAAGATGATGTACACACATTAGTTACAAAATATCAATGTAGTTCGTATGTTATTATAAAATAAATATATAATATTATTATTTAAATGTTTTCAGGAATTCATAGTCTGATCTTTCCATACCCTTCCTTCACATTTTCTGGTGGAATTTAAGTTGGTATTTAGTTGTTTGGTTGTTCAGTTGTTGTTAACTAAATTATGGCAAGATTTAGTAATAGTTAACCCAGGATATATGTGCATTCAATGTGGTAACTTACTCAGCACTAATAAAATAAATGTTTACAAGTCTAGAGAAAATACAGCAATCAGAGACTTCTTTTACAATGCCTTTTGTTCATCTTCAATGTAAAATATTAGTGATAGGAACAGAGTGTTGACAACACTGATCTTCCAAAATTCCCTTACTTTTCCTGATGTGGTGTAAAAAATCATAACTCTGTGGATGAACTAATACAAAATATCAAAAATTATAAATAACACAAGGTGAACCATCACAACTGGAATATACCATTACTGTTTTTGTTACATCTTCAGAAGGTAAAAATAACCACAAAGTGAGCTTTAAACCTTTTTTAGCTGACCCTGTAAACACAAAGTAGTCAAGGTGTTTGGCTGTGTTCTTAGGTGTTTGCTTGTTTGTTCATTCTTACCTAAGGCTGAAAACACAAGACCAATCATGACAAGGTTAAGTCAAAATTACACCATAGAGACCTACTAGAGACTAAGGCTGGCATGATTTAAATCAGGTAATTTTAATCATTGATGTAAATCATGATTAAATCAAATGATCTTTTTAAATCAATGATTTAAATCAATATTTAGTATTTGTAATATTTGAAAATATACTTGTAGTTTAAATATTTATAAAATCAAAATTACTTGTATAGACTTCAATCAACTACAAAGTTGTTATAAATAATATATTATATTTCTTATAAAAAATTTTACATAATTGAACAATTTTGAGAAAAAAAAATTTACAATATACAATAAAAATAACAAACTAGCAAAACGAAGAATAATGAACAATTCATAGCAGTTGTATACTAAGAGGTTTAGATGATCAATTAGTTTTTATTCAGCATTTAATTGTCTGTAGATAAAAACTGATTTAGCAGCAATACCACCCTAAGTCACACAAGCTAGTTTCGAGAAAAATGTGTTTAAAGCTTCAACAGTGTCCATAATTCAAGATTTGTATTCAAATGTTTGCTCAAATCACTGAAAGTACATCTTAATGATGATGAGTATTAATAAAAATGGAATTTTATTAATACTCATTTAAAGAACATAATTAATATTGTTAAAACTAATGAAAAAAGTACTTTATCTTACTCATTTAAATAATTTTAACCTTTCTCTTTGTGTGTATATTGATATAATTCTAATTGACGTGGGAAGAGTACTTCCTGACTTAAAGGGTTAATGAGGAAGTTCATATGTAGGGACCATTATATCCCGTATTTTTCGATAACAGGACAACTTTAAGTAAAATTTAATATTTCAAAAATATCTAATAATGTCAAGTTTTTCAATGACTTCAACTGTTTACAACAATAAGTGCTTTTAGATTATGACGGTAGTGCATAAAAAAATGGCAAAATTTCTTTGAACGAAGAATGCCTTTTTTCTAAATTATGTTAACACATGGTGCCACAGCTTATTCAGTACTGTGGGCACAAGAGATTGATCTAAGAACATGAAACTATAAGTAACTCAAATTTAAAGATTATGTGGGATGGAGCAGTATTGCACCAGAACTCTCAAATGTATAGTATCTTTATTTTTTAAATAAAATTAGAATAATATAATGATAAATTTAAAAAATGATGTTTAAAACAAAAGTTCTGCTTTTAAAGTAATTAAGAATAAATAAATCACTTAACAATTTAGGTTTAAAGGAATAACATTTAATACATTTTTTAAAATGTCTTAATTAGATCAACAAAATCTGATTTAATTTTAAAACATGTAATGTTTTATTTTATCATGATTTTTTCAGCCATACTAATGACCCAGAGTAGGCATTAATTTTCTAAATAATTTTAAATGCAGAGAAAATATTTTCCGCATTTTATCCAACATACACCACATATCAGTATTGGCCATTCAGTATATTCCAATATCAAAATACCAGAATTTTGGAAAGAAAAATAAATTGTCATAGATTGTCAATAAGTGTTAATGCTTTGAGATTTAATTTATCTGTGATGTAGGTGGTGCCATTGGCGTAGTAATGTGTGGCAACAGTGCACTAAACTGTCAGAGTCGCTTACACAGCTGAGCTGTAGAAGCACTGCTTTGGTAAACTCACCCTTGCCCTGCATCCTTCCAACTGGGCTCGATACTCCACCTCCACGCCCATCGCACTGTCCAGGCCCTGGAGGGCGACATGGAGGGCTTCTTCTTTCCCTTCAACGAAAAATTTTTGTTGGCTCTAGCAAGTCAAGGACCCTACTGTTTAAATTATCATTCAATTGAACTATTACTCAATTTGGGTAAAATAAAAAATTGATACATCTAATAATACAAATGTTTGTTTAATTTTAAAGTTCTACAACAAGGAAGATGGGATTTTTCAACAAAATTTGGATTAGATATTAATGACAAAACCTATTACTTTTTTATCTCAAATAATGTTGTTGTGTTTTCATAGTAAAGTTTAATACACTGCTGAGACTTAAAATAACACAAATATTTCCAAACTTGATTCTGAATTATTAGTTTTTGAGTGAATAGTCAAAATTTTGTTTTATCCATAGTCAAAATGTTGATATAATTCTTACAAATACTTGGGATAAATTGCTTCAAAATTTGATCGAATAGCACATCATAAACAATATCAACAATTTCCAGCTTGGCAAAAAGTTTGTAACCAATAAAACTTTGGTTTAATTTTGGAGAGCAATTTAAGAGTTAATTGTTGAGCCTTTGAGAACTTCTTTGTTAATAGCAGGGTTAATTCTCTTTATTACTGTAAAAATCACACTCAAACTAAACTTGCAATTTGTAGATACTGAAATGGCCTTTTCTTTTTTCTTGATGGTTTATTTAAAGACAATGCCAAAAGAAATTCAGGCAAAACCTCGACAAAAAATTACAACTAACCAAGAGCACTTTTCAAGCAGTCTTGATCAAATTATAACAAGAAATTCAACTTTTTGAACAACTTTAAGAGAAATGGAAGGGACATTTCTAAAACAGATGGTTCCATAATAATGACCTTTTATAGACGATTGTACAAAAGAATTACATCACTCAAATGTTTGATTGTTCTCATGAAATGCTTTGCTTTTCTACACTAACTCACATGTCAATACTACGCTTTCTTTTCCTGGGAGATCAGATCCCTAATGTCTGTGTAACAAACAGAAAAATATTTTAAAGAAAAAGACTGCAAATAAGCTCCAAAAAAATTTGGTAATTTAATTATTACTTCTTTTATTTTTAAGTTACAAATATGCTAAATATACAAAGTCAAGAAAAATTAATTATCAATATTGTAATATGAACACCGCAAATGTTATTTTCATTACAGATATTCTTTCTGTTCAATAATTGCCTTGCGGTTACACCCAATTGCAATTAAAATGAAATCTAAAGGTTAACATAATTTCTATCAAAGGTTTTTGATTTTATCTTTTTCCCCCCTTCATTGTCTTGAAAATACATGGAAAAATCTATTCCTTAAATTTCTGCTCCACTATTTTCTCTATCAACATTCTAATCTATAAAGTATTAATATTTAAAATGAGCAAGCAATTTTCCTTGAGTATCTTGTTGGCATAATACTTCTCCATCTGTTCAATAATTATTAACTGTCAAGAATACTACAAGATTGTTACTCTCAAGATGGTTCAAGTCAATTGGGGGGGGAAGGGGTGTAACACGGATTCCTTCTAACCGTGGTATTTTTGTTGAACTTTTTCATTATCACATCTGGAATATACACAATTGATATTTATCTAGATGTTTATAAAATCACCTTTAGATGAAAGAAAGAAATAAATAACATTACTTAAATCCAGAAAGCAAGTTTTCGGGGGAAAAGGGGCATAAATAATGCTCTTTCAAAGATGTATTCGGAGAGTACTTACTGAATATTACTGAATACTTTATCAATGTCACCATACGACAGCAATTTTCCCAAGCACTTACCTCCCACCAAAGCTTCCAATTCTTTAACTCGTTCCCGTAGTGTGTCAACAACACTGCCTGTGACTGAATCATTGTGACACAAATCAAGTGATCCATCAGAAGTATTAGCATCCTAGAACAAAGTAAACATAAGAAATTAGGAGCAACATGACATTTTAGGAGTTGTAAAATCACAGGTTACAACTGTCAACAAAAACCAAGAGGTCTCAGGCTAAATGATTATCATTGAAATTGTTTATTTACTTTTGTCAAACCTTCCATGATAAACATATTAGTCTTTTCATCCGCTCAGACAAATTCGAACATTTATTTCGTATGTCCAAAAGCAAAGTTCGTGAAACGCTTGCGTGCAAAACATGCGCAGTTCGTCAGATATAATACCCCACTACTAATCTTAACAGCTGTTATTTTCAGATAAGGATAAGTAGGCATACTCCGGAGAAGTATGAAGAAGGGCGTTTTCCTTGAAAGCGAGATGCTTCGTAACACTACACAAAAACATGAACAGAAAACAACCAACCTCTTCCTTCCCTGTTCCTATTTTGCTTTGCTTTTCTTCATCTCCCATCGCTTCACTGTAATGACACACATGTCCTACAGAACATGACACCGAAGCTTAAAATCGTCCATCCGCTGCGACATTTGCTGTCAAGGAATGAAGAAAAAACTAGGAACTATAAGGACAGGTCCTTCTGTGGAGTCTAATAATACACGTTAAATTGGTAGGCCCACACAGCACTCACGCACACACATACACAACCAAACAGACGAGCATACGAGACTGAAGCACGATTCAAAACACTGTCTGCCAATGACGATGGGTGTTGTACATCCAACAACACAGTTGCAATACGGGGCACCAATAGAAATCGCCTATCCTTATTTTAGGCGGGTTTTCTAAAGTTTCTTTTGCGCAGTTGAAAACGAACATCCCTTTTGGTCTGACTGTTTTATCGCGTGCCCTTCAATATTTCAGGGGTCTTAAATTCGAGAGAAATTTCTTTATTGTGTTCCCATTTTTTTGTACAATTCAGCATTAACGCCGAAGAGCGAATTAAAAAAGAAAAGTAAACATACCCTTTCATTTAGTTTCTGGGCTAAGGAAAAAGGTTATGAGTCTATGACAAAACTTCTATGGAATACATCCAAAAAGGATAAAATCTACGAATATAGTATATAAGGACTATAAGGACTGATATAAGTAGTAAGAAACATGTGCAGAGAATCAAAAGTCAGAACCCTAAGGATGGAGCCTCAGAAACTATATTAACATAAAGCTATAATTAATTTTATATTATTATATATTATAATATATTTAATCATATATTATAATACATTTAATATATATAATTAGTTTTATTTTATTATAATAATTAATTAACATATATTAATATTGCATCACTGAACAACCTCATACTATTCAATAAAGTATTTTCATTGGGGAAGAAAACAACAATTTTTGTGATGATAAATTCTGCACTGTGATGATTTTTTTTTATGATTCTGTATTATGATTATAGCAAGTGAATGAAAGCAGAAAATTATTTTTTGAGACACATCTCTCAGAAATGAACAAAATGTAGCAAAACATTGGTCGTATGAGGTATTTTTGTAAGTTTTATTAAATTATAACCTTGGCAACTAAACCATTGAATGAATTAATAACTTGATAAAAATAACTTTAAAACATTTCAAATTATATGGAAGCTCAAAGTGTCCAAAAATGAACATATTCAGAAGAAAAACTGTAATTCACCAAACAAGTTTGTCTAATCCTATTCACTTGCTTAATACCTTACTACAAGCCATCACTAGATATCAGATGTTTAGAAAAACGTTTACTTTATTCTAATGAACAAATTTGAAGGCTTTTTATACATGTGCAGGAATTATGAAAAAGAAACCAACCTCCTTCAAACCTTGGCTAAAAGAGAAATAAAAAAACACCATATTGAGTTAGCACTTGGATCAGAATTATTTTGCAACCAAATCACTTGTGTCTCAGGGGCAAGTCGATAACTCCAACTTCCAACATTGAGCCTTCCTTGCCGGAAAATCATCTAGTGCAATAAGATTACTACAATAGATGATCTTTTAGAAAGGAAGGCTCTTATTCTTAATTTTTAAAAATTAAACATTAAGACTCTTTCATATGTCAATTATTGAAAATAAAAAATACTTTAGGACATTGCTTTTGTTATTTTAAGATTATAAATTATAAAATTTTGTTTGTCTTTTTACCCAAGAATCTTATAAATTAATTATTTTTCCCTCATGTTATATTTTTCTGCTAATTTTAGATTCACATCCAAAGAAATATATTAAAGCTGGTTTTCCTTCCAGATTGTGTGTTATTGCATTTTTTCTTGCTTATTTTAATATTATTATGTCCAGTCATCACATATCTACTTGGGTCACATCTAGGTAATATCATTTTTGTTGGATTGCAACAGAATTTCTTCAATTGCAACAAACTCAATTATCAGATAAAAAGATCCTTATATCTCTGGCCAGAGAAACAAAAATTAAACTTCCTGATATCTTTGCCAAACCAACTTTACTCTATGGCAGTGAGGCATGGATTTTAAAACAGAGATAAACAAGGAATTGAAGCTGCCCATTTAAAGTACCTCAGACAAAATTAAAGCTAACAAGAAGAAATAAAATATAAAATGAAGAGAAAGGAAAATATTTAAAACCAAGAAGCAAACAGAACCAAGTTGCCTACCAAAGAAGGGCCTGAAATACAAACCAAGGAGATCAAAAGGGATAGAGAATGCCCAAGAAAAAATGGGAAGTCCAGGAATGCCTTAGCTTGTATGAAGAGAGAACTGGAGCAAGTATAACAGACCATTGGGTCTATCACTATGCAGTTTATAATGATGAGTATAGACCTATGTATTGAGAACTTTAACCATTCTTTTAAAAAGGTATCATTTTTACCTTCCACTTGAGGTCAAAGTTAGCCGCTCTTGTTCAGTTTTGGTTTAAACATACCAGACAACTTTTTCTTAACCATAAGTACCTAAAACACTTAAATATGGAATACTTGTATATTTTAGGAAGATACATATGCTTATAGTTTATTACCTATTACAAATATTTGTAAAAATCTTTATAATGTTGTGGCAAAACCTGAATGTGACTCTCTTGCACTTAACTACCTCAGATAAAACCAGATGTGATTGTTGTGACCAGCACCAGAGCTAGACAATTTTGAGTCTAGGGCAATCCTGAAACACCTTCCCCCGCCCCCCCCACACACACACACATACACACGCACATACACACGCACATACACACTGAAAAAATAATAATGTGAAAGTTTTATGAAGAAATCATATGGGTTATTTATTTCAACAAATTACAAATGTAACAACATTTAAAGTAGAAAAAGTTTATGGAAATATATTTTAAATAAAAGTTTTAAGTAAAAGTATTTAGAGATCAAATAATACAATTTCCATGGTGAGCTTAAAACATTTTCTTGTGTTTATTTCTTCTTTATTTATTAGTGTTATGGTGCTTGTAGCTTTGCCTATGCTTCTTTCATCACAGTAGCCTGTTCTCTATATTGCATTTTCTTAGTTGTATTTATTTAGTGTTTGATAAAATCAATTGTTAATACATGAAATAAAAAAAAATGAATTTCAATAGTATTTATTTTTATGTTAGTGTCATTTGATTGATTTCATAGAGTCCTACCTTATAAGTAATGACTACAATTAACTATTTAAGGTATTAATTTAATTGAAAATTTGATGAAATATCAGACTTATAAACATTCCGCAACTTATAAAATGACTACAACAATTTTCTCAACTTCTAATTTTTTTTCAATTCTTCACTATTTGTTCCCCCCCATTGAGCCCCTTGACTTGCCCTTGAGGACCCCTAGCCCCTTGAGGACCCCTTCCCATGCCTAGCACTGGCTCTGGTTGTGACTTACGCCCAGACAGTGTGATAGTTTCACTTCAAACCACTCACTATCCTGAGTTTGGACAAGCAAATATCTTTAAAAAAAATAGCATTTTTTGGGTCTGAATCTGTTGCTCCCAGTTAGCATTATAAAAGGTCAGAATCTCAGTGAATCACTGGATAAGTAACAGAGAAGAAAGTATCTGTTAAACCTGTGTGTGATCGTAAAACAGTTGAAGCAATTTTGTTTGCAGATCATTGTGGCAACAACTGATAAATAATATGTAATACTGAAGAAGAGAATAAGATCTGAAACATAATAGGGAGATATAAATAACATTGACTGAATTCTAAGAGTAAGAAAATACACTTTTTATGGGTGCTTAAAAGACATTCAAGAAATAAACCCAATGACAGAAACAAATATTAAGCTTCTTAAACTCACTTCCTTATTCAGTAGGATTGAAGGGGGTGGGAAAATATAATTGTCCAGAATATTAGGTACTGATAGGAGACAAGGGTAGTGTTTTGATTTTGTAAGTGGGCAATTTTATTTTAAAATAATAGCAAATTCATTATAAAGGAGGTAATGGAATAAGATAGGCAAAAATACCCCCAGGGATAACAATTTTGAACATTGAAAATTGTTTTTGAAGTGGGAAAAAAGGATAAGTTTTTTGCTGAATTTAACTCAATTTGCTCAGAGTACTTTACACAAATGAAAAAAAATGTGTTTTTCAGCACTTTATATCAATTAAAATTTTTAAACCATATTAGCTACCACAATGGGAGCCAGAGAGCAGAAACTTATTGGTTCACCACTCTTTTGTCAATTTGGAGTGATGATATTAGATTCATAATATTGAGATTAAATAATTTTTGTTTTATTTTACAGAAGGCAGTAGTCATCTGTTTTCTTCGAGAGCATTACTTAATATTAAATTAAAAAAAAAAAAAGATATAATAAATAATACCAGTAAAATTAAATCAAATGCTCCCAGCCTTTAACTTTATTACATGAGTATAAAATAGTTTGAAAAAGCATATATAAATGAAATACAAATGCAATAATGATGAGGTTATAACTTAAATACCTATTCAATAATGATATTGATGACTAGGGAATGGAATTTAATGTAATACAAAAATCGAAACATGTACAAAGTTACGTATTTATTTTTTCTAGAATATCTAGGGAAAATAGAGAGTATGTAATATAAAAATCAATTGATTAAAATTGTTCATACTAGCATTTTCCAAGCACAGAAAGTCGCCGATCAGATCTTAACATTAATATGGAGCATCTGATCTCTACACAAGTAATTTAAACTAGTTTTCACCCCCTCACAAAAAGTTTTACTTGAAACATAAAATATTATTGTTGTATCAACAAAGTTGTCAACAAGGAGCCATTGCTCAATTGAATAGTAGTATTGCATAGTCAGTGATGGATCCTGGATGAGAGTAAAGGTAATCTACTCCCCCAAATCCAACACCATGTGACAAAGAACTTTAAAACATATTGGTTGGTTGTCAATTGAGTTCTGCATGGGCTCTATGAAACATGAGAAAGCACATAGTTGAAATTTCTATATTGCTTTATGGCAGTTTGTTAATTTATAGTGAATATCCGGTGGTCATAGAAGAAATGGTAGCATCACGTTGCTATGTAAGAA